AAACAACTGCACCTCCCAGTCGCGAACCATTTCAACTCCCCCTCCCATTCCTCAGACGACATGTCCATCCTGGGCCTCCTGCAGTGCCACAACGATGCCACCCGAAGGTTGCAGGAACAGCAACTCATATTCCGCTTGGGAACCCTGCAGCCCAATGGTATCAATGTGGATTTCACAAGTTTCAAAATCTCCCCTCCCCCCACCGCATCCCAAAACCAGTCCAGCTCGTCCCTGCCTCCCTAACCTGTTCTTCCTCCCACCTATCCCCTCCTCCCACCTCAAGCCGCACCTCCATCTCCTACCGACCAACCTCATCCCGCCCCCTTGACCTGTCCGTCCTCCCTGGACTGACCTATCCCCTTCCTAACTCCCTACCTACACTCACCTTTCCTGGCCCCATCCCCGCCTCTTCGACCTGTTTGTTTCCTCTCCACCTATCCTCTCCTCTATCCCTCTTCTATCCGCCTCCCACTCTCTCCCTATTTATTTCAAAACCCCCTTCCCCTCCCCCTTTTCTGATGAAGGGTCTAGGCCCGAAACGTCAGCCTCTCTGCTCCTATGATGCTGCTTGGCCTGCTGTGTTCATCCAGCCCTGCACCTTGTTGTCTCGGATTCTCCAGCATCTGCAGTTCCTACTATCTCTAATGAGTTCTGTTCTGTGAATTATGAAATTGTCTTGAGTGAATACCCACTAAACTGCAAGTTTAGACTTTCTTGGTCTTTTCATAATCTGCTGGTTTCTAACCAAATATTCTTCTGGCAATTACTGTAACTATCTACTGAAGTAACTTATTCCCTGAACTGTTCTGTTTGTTTTTGGGAGAGAAATAGTATTGCGATTCTGACCCTGTCAGATTTCCTCTCCACCTGCTTAAAAGCTCCCAATCTCTGGGTTTCTGAAGCTAAAACCAATCCTTTGTTATCCTAAATTGATAACTGTCTAATAGACCTTGATGGTTACATGCCAAATTGGAAATCCATTGCAAGACAAACCATCTTCTAATAATTCCAAAGGTTCCTTCTTGTCTGTCATGCGAAATTAGCTCATCGTTTCTGAAGCATCGACAGACCTAGTTATGTTTTAAACCTTTCATCAAAGTAACCAATGCCTAAATGTCTCTAGTTGAAAGTAAGTATGTTTCCTTACAATGTTTGTTTTTATTTCATAGAGCCGATGCCAGACCTTACAGGGAAGAATGGCACCCTACCCCACTCCTTATAATGCACAGAAATTCATCAGTCCCTAACTTTCGAAGGGAAGGGAGAAAACATGAAAGCCTGAAGAAACCAGGTTTAGCTGCTCTGAACCATACAGTTGCTCTGCAAGATGAACTTAGTCGTTTGCGAGAACAGATTGCAAAAATAGTTGCTGTGCCAGAGACAAAAACGGGTACTAGTGAATTTTGAAAATATTACCATTCCACTTAATAACTTCCTTTGGAAAAAGCTGATTAACTTTGATTGGAAAGGGAATTTAAAAAGACCTGGGGTAATATTGATTATCCACTCGATTTTCTAACTGAGAACATGGCACTTCTTGTGCTTTGGCACGAGCAGATGAAAACCGATTTCATGTGGTACATGGATATTTTTGTTTTCCTTCACTTTTCCCATTCTCCCCACCATTTAACCATGACCTGACTGGAGTATCACATTGCTGACACTGCCCTTTCTATGATTGCATAGTGAACTAATACTTTTTTAAACTGTACCATTATCAAGTTTAGCAACAAATCTAAGCGAATATAAAGATAAATTAGTGTGGTGACCTTAATTGTTTGCATAGGTAGATGTTGAAACACTTGGCAAAATGAAGTTTGGGGAAAGAGTTCTGAAGTTAGAGATGGCTGGAAGTTCTGATGCTATTGTTGGAATGCAAAAGGGATTAATTATCAAGGAAAGCAGAGTTGGAAGGATATATGTAGGATTTATGGGAGGTTTTGGAAATAAAAAAAAGGGCTTTTGGATTATTGACTATCATTTAGTGGGATCCAACGGCAACTAACCAATTCCAACTAGGTGCCACACTTTCTTTAATTCGAGGTGGGCAGTGGGTCTGAAATAATTTTCGTTGGGGAGGGGGTTGAAGGCAAAACCCTTGATGATCAGCCATTTCAGTAATAAGCATGTGTATCTTCTTGCAGCCTATTGCCTGCATTCACTGATCTCCACTTTAATTCTCTGACCACAGCTGTTTACAGCATTGCCTACAGGTATTGTAGGTACAGAGGTCTTGAGTGCAGCTGTTCGCCAGTCAGCCATTTGAGCCTGTCCTGCCATTTAGTATGACTCGCACCTGATCATTTTGTGGCTCCTCTTTTCCCTTCCACCTCACCACCCCAATCACTCTCGATTTTTTCCCCAGTCCATCAAAAATCTATCTTATTCAGCCTTCAATAAGTCCAATGGCCTGACCCCCTACTACTTTTTCGGAAGAGAATTCTGCAGACTAACCATGCTTTGAGTCAGAAAATATTTCTTTTGTATGTCTATTTTAAAAGGGCATATCGTTAGTATCTTGAATGCACTCATTTGTCATCTATGTAACTTGCATTGAATAAAAAGAGAATCTCTTGTTTCATTTTGTCTTTCAGCATCTGCCCCTCTTACACCAGAACTTTGCTCTCCTGACACGTCAAGTATTGCCTGCTCTTTACCAGATTTTGAATCCGCATACCCTCCTTTAGCATCCTTTACTCTAAATGATGATATTCCTGAGACTGACGAACCTGAATCTTTAAGTCTCGCATCCTTTTCTATTGCTGCTTCATCAAACTTTGACTTTGACTTTGAAAGTAAGGGGCAGGATTTAACAATGAACAATGATGCTGATGATGAGACCTCCTGCCTTTCAAAGTCCACCAGCTTTGCGGATATGATGGATATTCTGAAAGATATGAATAGGGTCAAATTAAATTCGTTACAGGGGTGAGTTGGAAATGAGCATCACTTCAATATTACAAATATTAATTGCTGAATAGTCTTAAACTGGGACAACAGGCTGTAATGTCAAATTATCTGGAGATTAATGTTGCAGGCTGATTAGGTCAACTCAGCAGCAAATTTACAAAATTTAGTGAAAGACACCAGACAGTGTAAGCTCTGTGTACCAGGAGTGTCTGGTTTGAATTCATAGTCTGTGTGGACTTAACTGATCTCAGTAAGTCATGTATGTCCTTGATGTCCATGAACTGAGGAAGAAATTATAGGGTGAGCGAGAGCTTTAAGGAGGGGAATCCATCTGAACTGACTTCAAAAGGAGTATTGTTTGTCATCCAAATGAAATTACAAATGCTATAACTTAAGATGGAGTTCTTATGCTAAGTATCATGAATGACATAATACCCAAGATTTAATTTTTTTGGTCTGTGTTGCAGGTCAGTGCAATATTTTCCAAATCTGGATTATATTCTCTGAAGTTGTTTATAATCTCAAATTGTCAAACATTTGAAATGAGCATGAAAGTGACATGCTATAAAATTTCCTTTGTATAATCACAGGATTTTTCCATGCCCCTCCCCACTCTCCAACCCCATTACCTGTCCAACCCACAAAAGTTAATCTCTTATAATGGCAGAATTCTAGCCAGTAACAAGGATACAAATAGGTTTTTATAATAACCCACAGTGCTAAAGAGTTTGCAGAATAAAAATTTGCCCCAGTCACAACAGCATGTGATTCATGTGTTGCTTGTTGAAGTTTAACCAAAAAAGACAGTTTTGGTAAATGCATGCTAGGTCTGAGGAACTTTCAGTACCATCACAGCCATCCTTCTGTGTTTTTAATTTTAAACTTGGGTTAATGAGGCTTAAGCTTTGATGTCCTCTTAAAATATGTATGACAGTTGAATCTAATGGCATCTACATAAATTAGGTTGAAAGACCATTCAACTCATCTTAACAGTGCTGTTGCTTTGAAAGACCTGTTCATTAGGCCCTTTGCCTTGCAATCATTTCCTCCAAGTGTTTATTCTGTTTTGTTTTGAAATAACTGCATTTTAGTGGCATTTGACACTACTATCTGAAATCCTTCATTTTCTGGACTTTTTTTTTAAATCCATTCGTCAAGGGCTGTTCTAACATAGCACTGCGCTTGAGGATGGGAAACACTTGGAATTGTTAAATGAAACATAATTTTTCAAAATAAAAAACAACTTCAGTGAGATTGTCAACTGAGCAGTTAAATCACTTTTTTCTAATAACTGTGACTGAGAAGTAGTTGAGGAGATAGCAGAGTTAAAGGCAGTACACCCATGCTAATGCCATTAACTGACTTTGATTTTTTTTAAAATCAGCATTGCAGTTTGCTGGTGTGTGCTGGATAAACCAAAGTTTATGGTATTGGTACGTCTATTACTATGACTCTTTCAGACAGCACATTCTACATTGAAGAGTTATGACAATTTATTAAAAAGTCCTCCCCTCTGGTTCCAAGGGACATTATTTGCACCTTCAATCCTGTTCCTTCTACAGACCACGTTTCTGAGCTTCTCTAGCCCGCCTTGCATCAATCCCTAAACAACAGGTATTTAAGGCTCCTTTCAAGTCAGTATCTCCTGGCGGTGCACTGGAATCGGACGTATGTGCCGTGGAATCAAAGTTCACTGTTCACTCAGCCCATAGGCACATGTGCCATGCTACTGACAGTTGTACACCCCAAGAAGCACTCAGACCACAATTGTCATTCTGTTTCTGTGTGTCACCCTGCTTGCTACTTTTCTCCCACTCACCAACTTAATTTCTTGATCATGGGGAGTGGTCAACAGTGATGGAGGGAGGCAGTGAGGGGTCAGGAGTGGTGCTATGTGAATATACTGGTCTTATTAAACTAACTTAAAACAATTGAAAATAAACCCTTTTTCAGTCCTGTTCTTTATGCAGGCACTTGTCTGTGACATTGCTAGCAGTGACATTATAAGCACTGAGACTGCATGGGCTGAGTATGACTGTACAGCTGCACTGACAGCTATTTTAAGGTTGGAGTCTACATTATATGTATTTATCATTGGCTTTACCCCACACATTCTACATGAAATGGGATACCTCCACTAAATGGAATGTTACTTGGTAAATGTTTTAGTTCCAGATGAGGGGCATTGTTTATATTGGTGTGTAAACTGTCTTTACACTTGCTTTCTACCACTGGCATTTCCTAGGACATGGCAAATCTTGCTTCATCAGCTCAGTTTTGAATGGGTTATTCTAAATTTAGACCTTGCAGTAGACTTTAGCTGCAAACATCTTAATACCATCATAATAAATGTCTTAATATTGCAAACATCCAAATTGATTAACAAACCAAGACTGGCATGTGTCCAGCAGCACCAGCAGTTAGTCTTTTGCAGTTTGTCACAAATACCTCACTAACTTTTATGTTCCAACCTTGTTGCATATTCCAGGTAATGCCTTCAATGTATACTAGACCACTTATTACTTCAGAAGAGAGCCAAAATTTGATAGCTAGGGCAAGACTTAATTACTGAAACTATTGTCACTGCAGGTCCAGGAGAGGCTCTCAGCTTTTGAGAGAAAATGATCCATCAGTGCTTATATCGGAAGCATTGAAACGCAAGTTCACGGTTCAAGACAGTTCTGTTTTTAAGAAGGAAGACTGATCACATAAGATCTTCAAACATCAAGTAGTAATCCCCCTGCAAGTATGTCTATCGCTTTAACTGTGTACTTGAGATTTTAGACCACTATTTTAGTGTAGATTACATGTTAGAATGAATATTCAAGTATAATTTCCAAAATTGAGCTGTATTATTATGTATCATGCATTAAAATTGATCTTCCATTCTCATTTTTTGCCCAATTTTATTTTTCCTGCATCTTCAACTATCTCAAAGCAGCTGTATTAGGTGAAAATTATTGGGTAGGGAGAAGAGTGGGATATGGTGGTGGACAGAGCCCTGTAGAGATTTTTCAATCAATCTGTTCAGACATGTTAGGACGTACCTCTGGAGCAAGTGGGACTTGAACCCAGGCCTCCTAGCCTAGAAGGGAGAGCTTGGTAAGATGAGCACAAAGGGGTTGAATTTGATTTGGGTTGTGTTTATGAAGTCCCAATTTTTGTGTATCAATTGATGAGGACAACTAATAACACTATTTCAAATTGAAATAATGGGGAAGTAGAGGCTTTATTTTCCATTTGGTGTTTTATAAAGTTTGACAGGCTGACATCGGTTGGCACTAATTTCACTTTATTTAATATTTTTTAAAAAAACTTTATTTTGTCTTTTTCACTAGATTTAAAACCGGGATGGGGAACTGAGTCACTTGGAATGGACTGCTTTACCCTCCGCCAGTTCAATACACTCTATGGATCCTGCTACTTGGAGCAAGCATGATGTGTTGATCAGGAAAGCGCACACTTTATACACAAAATTGCAGGTTGTGGATACAAAACTAAATGAGGCAAGCTTGTATTTGTGCCTTGAGTATACAGATTTATTGTGGAGTAAAGCCTTCCTTATCTCTGCTTCTATGTTTTTCTTTTGTTAGAAGGAATGAGTTTATTGGTTTGTGTTGGTGTTAAATACAGTGATGAACTGGGGATTTATATTTGATTAACAAATAATTTAGTGTTGAGTTTTTTAGCTGCTTATTTGGATTCTCTCCACTGATCTTATGTCCTGAAAGAGGCTACGCAGTCAGTGGTGAAGGGTTCAGTTGTTTGTTTCTAATTAGAAACAGTGGTGAAGTGTGGTTTTTTTTTAAAAGAAGAAATATGTGCATTCAAAAGGGCAAAACAGATTGTGATCCTTTTTTCACTTCTTTGTCTCAATTCCTCAAACTGTAAACACCCCCTTTACAAAAAAAATGCGTAAATTGTTTCTCGGTCATGCATTCCAATCCATGTGATTGGAATGCAGCCATGCCAATTTAGGCTGAGTACCAGAAATGTTTGATACAGTTCTCTTTTTTTTAAATCAAATAGTTGTATTTTCTTTGTTAGTTGTTCCTTCCCACTCCCTAATGCTATTCACAGAAGAAACATCAAGATCCAGTCAGTTAAGAAATTTTAACAAGTTCCTTAATTAAATGTTAATCATCACTCATGTGTTACACAAGCAACAGTCACTTGGCAATCTGAGAAGTTCAGTTATGGAGAGACCGTATGCTATCATTGCTTTGTGAGCCAATTCCAAATTTAATCTTTATTGAAGGATATTTTATGGACCTACAAAATTCCTGTGCTGCTTGCTGCTACATTATTTCTACTGTAGCTGGCCTGGAAACCCGATTCAATTTGTTTCCAGCTTTTTGTGATATTTGTTTGTAAATAGATGCCTGTATGAGAGTGAAGAGACAGCTGAAGATGCAAATGGCAATGCAATAGTTAGAATTTTCGTTGAGTTTATGCAAGGTCACGTGTTTTGCATTGTCAGTTAGCAGCTTGATAACTTGCCTTGAAATAAAGGGTTGTTGGGTGGTCACTCACTATCGCAATTGCATAGTATATTTACAAAATCATCTAAAACATCAGCTGCAATTTAAAGTTGGTACATTGTTTGGGGGGAGGGTCATTTAGTGCCTGCATTTTATTCTTGAATTAGAAATCAAAAGCAGTGTTATGGAAGACTGGGCAATCATGCCTTTTCATTCTGGGCGCTCTTGTTGGATTGTGACCCACAGCAGTCTAAAGATAGATAAGCTATTCATCTTAAAATGTCATTTAAACTTTAATATCTTTCGCTTGCACATGCGCACACATCTGGATTTGAGGTATCGGCGTTTCTTTTGAAGTTGATCCAGTAGCATATTACTGAGTCATTGGAATCACTATGAAAGCTCTGACTTGAAATCCCACAGCCAACTCTCACTTTAAAAAGCTAATTGACATATTGTTGGTATTATTCTCTAGTTGTTGCAAGGAAATGTTCAACAGTGAAGCTTTCTAACATATATGTTTAAACTGTCACCTGTTCCTGCTGCAGTCTAGCCTTCTGTTCTGTTTGACTGAGGGAATTTTTGCCTCTTGGTAGCACAAAGAGACAAATGGCAGAGAGCAATCTTGCTCAGGCCTAGGGAAGAACACATTTTAATTAACACTTAAAATTGTCTCTTTGCATTGTTACATTTCTAAATCGGTATGTTTAGAGTAGGATCCTACTCAGCCCATTGTGCTTGACATTAATCCAGACTTAACCATGCTTTATTTTATTCATGGCTTTGCATTTATCTTTACTTGATGTATACAATCACTTTTTTTGTTTTCTCTTTTTGAAGAACTTTTCTTTAACTACTTCATTGGCCAAGTATTCCATCGGATGATTCTGTAATTTTTTCATTGAAAAATGCTGAAAATGTGCATTCTGAAATCCATCGCTGCAGTACAATGGGAGTGAACCTTGGAACTGTAGAAATTGATGTTTGTTACAGGCAGCCACAGTGCTTGCCCTTTTTAAATTGAGACCCAAATACAAATAACAGATGAAGGTTCTGATTTTTCTGCTGGCTCCAAGTCTGACATGAAATGAGTGCCATTGAGCCCATCAGACAAGTCTTTGTAAAATGCCTTTGCATAGTTTGGCATGAGGTGGTCTGGAGTGGCAGCAAGATGAGCCTTGCAGAGTATTTCAGCATTGCTTGAATATAGTCCACACTCCAACAAAAGTTGGAAAGGGGTCCCTTCAGCACTGCTGTTGTTACACTCCGTGTGCAAGAAAAAACAAATTATGTAGTTTGTTTTACTCTAATATTTTAAAAATAAAGCATTACACTTAAGTTTTTTTTTTTTATGCTGCAAATTCTGTCTTCAGCACAACTTGTCCACTCACTTGTATTCCTATTCAGATTTCACTGAAATGGTGCAACTTAACCCTATTAGTGAAACTTGTAATTCGAAGACCTCAGTGGGTGATCTGTGGATTGTGACGTCCTAAACTGGTTCTTTATCAATGTAGTCATGGTATTATTGCACACAGAAGCTATAACCCCCACCCTCACCCAAACAAAACCTCCCATCCAAATCTTTGTGTAAACTGTAAGGCCTATTTTATTTTATAAACAGTATTCCAAATTTCAGCAAAATCAAAGGAAAGTACTGCAGAAACTGGAGATCTGAAATAAAAGCAGAAAGTACAAGAGAAACTCGGCAGTCTGCAACTATCTGTGGAGTGAGAAACAAAGTTAATGTCTCGAATCCAATATGACTTCTCTGTGGGAAGAATTCTGTATAAGCCATATTGGATGCAAAACATTAACTTTGTTTCTTGCTCCACGGTTACTGCCAAACCTAATGGATTTCTCCAGCACTTTATTTCTATTCTAAATTTTGGAGCTTATTTTTGCATTCATGTTTTGGCTAAGGACCAAGATATCTGCCTAACAATCCATCACAGTAAATACTTCCGATTGTAACTTAAAGAAATATTGCCTTGAGAGCAAGTAGCCTTTATGGGCCTGAGTACATCAGTCACTTGCCATAGAAATGTTGGTGCAACCTCAAACCTATCCCGCATGCCCCTCATACTTTAGATCTCCCTTTGAAAAGGATGATCACTGGGAGATATCAAATTCTGAATAATAAGCTATTACACTTGCTTTTTTAAATGTTGTCCTGGAGTTTATTATTCAGTGAAATGAAATTTTAAAGCAATAACTTATCAGATTGTGCATGCATGATTAGTTCATTATTTATTACATTGATGTAAGAGATCTATTAACAATTTTCATCTTGCATATGAAAAGATTTTTTTAAAAGTTTAACTTGTGTTCATTTCTGATTAATTCTGGCAACACCAATAAAATATGCAGAATATCTGAGCCTTCTGTAGACTCTGAATACTGTGATTTAAGTCTTTAGCAACCTCGTCTGTTTTATTCCATCTTCAATTCTTTTGGCCACTGGTTGAGGACGCTAACTTTCAATTTCCAAGATGTGTAACTTCTCAGAGGCAAGGGGAATAGTTCTGCATGACACCCCAAATGACCCAGCAAGATTATCGAATGAGTAATAGGTGTATACACTTCATGAAATGAGTTAACTGAGTGCTGCTGAGGTGGTCATGGCAGAGCTGCAGTTGGTCATTGCACTTACAATAATATAACATAATAGCTGAATTGCCTTTTTCTAGGCTCAACTGGTCCAAGCCCACGTTTTTGCTCCACAGGAGCCTCCCTTTTTTTTTAAAAACCCCTGAGCAGCAGATCCTTCCATTTCTGCTTACCTAGTCTCCCCCTGTAATGGGTTCAAAAGGCAGCTCCTCTCTTGTAACAAAGCACTTCCTTCGAGTTGTTAGAACAACGATCTGCATCAATCCTGATCAGTCTGCAGGGTAGGAAGAAGAGTGGCAAGAATCCATGACTGATCCAAACTAGCGTCCCCATAAAACAATCTCTACAGTACACAGACACTTGACTCTGTTTTTGTAGACAGATTGCCTGAAGAGCCTTCCCTTTAAGAACATGAGTGATTGCCAGGTACTGACAACAAGAGATAAAAGAAGGGTTGTTTGGTTAACAACCCTGGTGTGCACACATGTATATACACTTAAAATCTCAATCCTAGTCCACTGCCTGTGGATTTCTGCACAGCTCCTTGGGATCTTTTTCTAATTATTACTGTGACCAGTGGAAGTCAATAGTGGTGTCACAATTCACTTGGCATCTGAGTTACTGCATCTGGCTAAATGCAATTTTTTTAGCATGCTTGTAGCCTAGTGCTGGGCATGGTGATGCTCAAGGTTCAAATGCTCTTTCTATCACATCACCAGGAATCTTTCCTGCTTTTATAGCCTGCAGGAATAGGAAGGATTATCAACCTTATTTTGTTATGAATGCATCTTCCTCAGCCATCAAATTCTGCAGTTTCTCTGGTTCAGGTGGGGACTGTACCCACTGACCAGCTGCTTTAAGTGTAATATGTGTCATTGTATACATACCCCAAATACATAATTTAAAAATCCCAGTAATAATGAAGGATCTCTATCTGTTCCATTTTAATATCCTCAGCCATAAAATGTGTTCTGATTACATCAAGCTAGTTTTGAGATATTAAGGTGGTATACTGTTTGACGTCTCAACCTACCTAATTTTCTCCTCAGCCTGCACTTTTGATTATTAACTGTATTGTGGGGAAGTTGATCAATTCAGTTGTCAAAATGCCTAATGTGTTGCAGAATATAGCTATTAGAATGGGTTTGATCACTGTGTACCAAGTGCAGGAGTTCATGGAGGCCTGCCTCCTCAACCACATCAGAAGTGTGGGGCAAGGTATCTTCAAGCTATAGGTAGCCAATTGTCTCTTTCTTTCTCTTTCCTTCTCCACCGCCCCCTGCCCTGCCTCCCACCACCCTCTGAGAAAGAGGCTCATTCTTTGCGAACTGTAGCATTATGCAGTTCGGTCTCGTGTCATGCTGTTTTACAAACAACCACTAAATGCTGCCAGAGACAACAAGGTGCAGAGCTGGATGAACACAGCAGGCCAAGCAGCATCATAGGAGCAGAAAGGCTTACGTTTCGGGCCTAGACCCTTCATCAGAAATGGGGGAGGGGAAGGGGGTTCTGAAATAAATAGGGAGAGAGGGGGAGGCGGATAGAAGAGGGATAGAGGAGAGGATAGGTGGAGAGGAAACAAACAGGTCGAAGAGGCGGGGATGGAGCCAGTAAAGGTGAGTGTAGGTGGGGAGTTAGGGAGGGGATAGGTCAGTCCAGGGAGGATGGGCAGGTCAAGGGGGCGGGATGAGGTTAGTAGGTAGGAGATGGCGGTGTGGCTTTAGGTGGGAGGAAGAACAAGTTAGGGAGGCGGGGACGAGCTGGACTGGTTTTGGGATACAGTAGGGGGAGCGGAGATTTTGAAGCTTGTGAAATCCAGTTCTTCCTTGGGTGGCGTGTCAGTTCTTTGAATGAAAGATTGTACACACTAAAAAGTTATTTCCTGTTTGATACCAGCTTGGGAAACCTTTTTTGCTTTTCAGACTACAGCAGCAGTAAACCATATTACGCATGCAGGCCATCATTGGAGGCAAGAGGACTTGCAACATTTTGGTGAACTAAATTCCTGTTACTCATTATTTTCTAAAGTTTCTGCATTCAATAATATAGGAATACTGCTGGTCTAAACTCAACCCACTGAATTTATTTCAGTAGCACTAAGGGATGGAGTAAACAGTAAGGGACACTGGTGAATCGTTGCAATATTGATGATGTCAGTATTTTGTCTATATATTTCTATTGGTTGGTGGTTTGATGCCAGTGTTTTTATACACAGCAGAAGGTTAAGTGCTATCAATTTCCCCTCTGATTAAAGACTGTGGAAATGCAAATTGTATTTTCAGTATTTTAAATTGGCTCTAAAAGAGATTAAATCAACAGTGAAAACGTTCAAAGTTTTCATGTGCAGTCAGTGAATGACTTTAGTATATATTCTGCATGGCTTTAGGAGGGTTGGCAGTTTTCTGCTGTATTGTGGTTTGTGGAAGCACAATTGAGGGAGTGTTAGCAGAGAAGGAAAGTATGGGAATTAGTAGATAGTAAGGCCAGGCTCTTAACAATGTTGGCATTTGTTTTTCTTCTGTTTTTACACACTAATTTTGTTTTAGCAGGGATATTTGAAAGTTTTTTTTGTGAAGTAGCACCGAAGCTCCAATTTGCACCAGTGTTTCAACAAATCCCAGTTAGACTTTCACATTCTGCAGTAGGGTTAGGTTTAGTCACAAGACGACACTTGACTATTTAGGCTCCAAAGCTCATGAATACCTTCTGTCGCATTTCCAAGAGAACTTTTGATTGCTAAAATCCTTGATAGAAGAATGATATAAAAAGTGATGCAATGGAGATACCAGTTTCAATCTTTTGTGGATCCCTGCTAGTTTATCTGTATTACTTTTTTGGGTTACAAATAGCGTAGGAAATTCATTTTAATCATGTTGATTTGAAAACCCATTGCAAATAATTTCCTTTGTGAATTAAAAGTTGGCTTTCTCCAATCTTATCCTAATGAAATGAGTCATTTTCCAGCATCAGGTTGGCACTATTAACATGATGAAATTTTTAAATTTTACAACTACAGGAACTAACGTGTGCCAGTTGAGGGCAGTATTTCACTAGCTTGAACAAGGTGGAGCATCACTGCTGCCTCCTGATTTAAAACAATTTTTGTAAACTTTTTTAAAAAAAAATCTCTTCCTTCACTTTGCATCCACTTAAATTGTTTGCTTAAAATTCCTTAAAGGGGTTCACGTTTGTGTGAACAGAGGATAAGTTTTTAGTTTGATCATTTCAGTGACCCCTTAGTTGAAAAATCCTCCCCCTCCTGGGGCTAATTTCGTCTCTTGTTGTTTCCAATACCTCACTGAGTCTTTGTGACTGAATTGAAAGTTCCAGGTTCAGGCAGCATGCCTTACTGACTACTGCCCTGTGGCTCTAACATTCTTCATTATGAAGTACCATTACAAACCCTTCAAAGCACACATCGAATCCAGCCTCCCATATTTACTTAATCTGCAACAATTTGCCTGGTGCTGCAATAAGTCTACAGCAGATGCCATTTCCCTCCTCCTTGGAATGTCTGTATAACACGGATAACAAGGATACCTATGCCTGACTCCTATTTATCCCTATCATAATTCCTACCAAGCTCTAAGGCCTAGGTCTCTGTTCCGCCCTCTGCAACTGTGGTCTGTGGGTCAGAAGGGGGGATACAATCAGTAAGGACAGGTGACAACACCTCCATGATAATCCTCAACAGTGGTCCCCTGCAAGGCTGCATACTCAGCCCCTTACTCTGATCCTTGTACGTTCATGAGTGTAGCCAAATTCAGTTCCAACTCCATCTACGCTTCCTGCTACCTTGAGAAAGCAGCCAATATGATCAAAGACCCTCCTTCTCTAGTTGTGCTCTCTTCCTTCCACCAGGCAGAAGATTTTAAAAAAAGTATGAAAACATGTACTGACAGATTCAAGAACACCATCCCCTCCTTCTACTTCTCCCCCCCCCCCCCCCCCCCCCACTCCACCTTATCAGATTTATGAATGGACCACTTGTAATACAGTTGATTGTTACATAGAAGGTGTAGCTGTAATACTATATTCTGCATTCTGTTCAATTACCCTGATGGACTTATGCAAGGTATTATTTGTCTGGATAGCATGCAAAACAATATGTTTCACTGTATCTGGGTATATGTGATAATAAATCAAGTTCCATTAAAACCAAAGCAGACATCCCTGTATTGTACAGAGAGAGCACTACGTTTTTAGAACTGTGGCCTCAGCTGAGACATTAAACACGGGCTTCAGCTGCCTGTTTTAATGGAGATTTATGTAAGATACCATGGCACTCCTTCAAGAAAGAGGAGAGGTGCTGTTCCTGGTGCCTTGGCCAGTGTTTATTCACTAATCATCACAAAAGCAGATTTTCTGCTCATTATCACACTGCTGTTCATGGGAGAGGATTTGCTGAACACATTTCTTACACTGCAACAGTACACTCCAAAAAGCAATTAGCTATAATACATTGAGATTTCTGATGATTTCGAAAGGTGCTATGTAAATGCAAATATTTCTTTTTTGCATATATCTAGACAACTGTTTATGCTCATATGTCAAAAGGGAATTAGTCCACACCAATTCTTTCAGCAATAGGTTACTGGAGGATGATCAGGCACTTGCCAGTATTTCTCCTGTAATGTGGGTTTGTTCTAACTGCTGAAATATTTGACCGCAGCTGATATCAGCAACTTAAGCGCATATCAACCATATGATGCAGGAGCAGAAGTAGGCCATTCAGTCCCTTGAGTCTGCTGTACTATTCATTGAGATCA